TTTTTTTTCCCCCCCCCCCCCCCCCCCCTCCCTCCTCGCTTATACTGGGAAAGGGGGAAGGGAGGGGGGGAGGGGGAAGAAAGAGGAAAGAGGTTATAATAGGCCTAACTACTTTGTCCTAATTTACTACAGACCATAGCGATCCATCAGTTAATGAGTGTAATCTATAACTTTTCCCAGCAATGATGACCGTGCTGAATTAGAACAGGAAGAACGCTAATAGCCCAATAGAAAAACGTTATAAATTGTAAATTTTTATAAAAAAAAGGGGGCGGGGGAGGGAGGGAACGACGAGTAAGGTACCAGAGGGCCAAAAGCAAAATGACCACTCGATAAAGCAACATCTGGTCAGAATGACCACAGGCCAGTTATAAGCTGTACTGGAAGCACGGAGCTTAGGTACGATAAAGCGACAGTCGAACGAAGCAAAGTTTTAGAATTGAGCTGAAAGTTTCAAGACAATGAACAAGAATAATGGCATGCATAGAAAGATAGTAGTTTGGGAACCCGAACAAACTTATCAGTTTTGCCGTGCGCTGATCAGCCAATTTATTTTTGAATGCCTCCGCTTTTCATAGGAAGTAAACACGAATGGACTTCTGACTTATTTCCACTTTTAGGATCATGGTGTTTTGGCCAGTTGTTTTGAAGATCCTATGCTACTGAACTAATGGGATGTGCCCCTGAGCGAAGCTTCATCAGATTTTAGAAGAAACATAAATTAAATCTAATACTTAAAAAAAAATTGTTCACTGACCGCTCCCAGTCAGTTTCTGAAAGTTCTTGGATAAAGCCAGCGAGTATAGCGCAGTGAGAAGTAGGACAGCTGTCTCGCAGTAGCTCGAGTCTCTGATAAGACAGTCAGCCCCTCTACGACTCGTTCATGCGTTCCGATGGTAAATTGGTACTGGCATTTGTTAGGAAATTAAACACGCCTCAGTTTACTTGTAAGCAAACGTCGAAGGAGGAAGCCTTCGACAACTTTTACCTGCGAGTGTTTGCTTTGCATTTGCTACCACCCAAGCCACTTCTCAAGTGTCTCCGCATCCCATGGATTTCAAATACGGAGGATTTCCAACTTATTCTAAAAAAAGATAGAAGCACAGCTGTCTTCAGCGCTACTTCCGGAAACAAAATATGCCACAGAAAACGCGTTCTTCATAGTTTTTGAATATCCACAACAGGCTTACAATGTCTACGTTAGCTGGATTGCAAAAGAATGGCTCCAGAGCAATGCTTGGTCGAGCATCGGATTTATATAATTCGCGATTTTTGGCAAAATGGCAAACTGTGAATTCGATCATTACACCAAATACGAATGCCTAAAATCTAGCGAAATCCTGAAGTACATAACGCATGATTATGAAATTTAGCAATTCTCGTAACGGAGAGGAAAGAGAAAAAACAGGCAGAGAGGAATGATTCTCCCGAATTCATGAGTGCTATTATGTTCGCGAAAAGAAAGGCTATAAGGCCACCGTAAAGCCAAAAGTCAAAACCATCTCCATATTCAGTCTCTGTAAAAGCGGTAAATAAAGGCATTCGGGCTGGATCGTTATGAGCAGTTCCATGATCTTTACTGAACAGATCGAGCCACAGGCCAAAAGACGTATGCGAAATTCGAAACAGTTCGAATAATGAAATTTTCTCGATTGAATCCTAACCATGCAAGAACCCATCCACACATCGATGGCTTTCATATAGGAAACTTCCGGAAGCGCTAATTTTACCGCATTCGCTTGCGTTGAGATTGTAAGCAACGTTGTAATACTCAGCGAAACGCGTGCCGGTGCCGAATCGACATCCAACCAAAAATTAAACCTACAAGCTTCTATTAAAAAATGAATGTCCAAAACTATTTTCAGTAACGCAAATCGATGCCACCAGCATTGTCGGCTCCTGTGTGCACTTTAACAAGGCACTTCCAAGAAATACAGGCAACACAGCGAAATTTCTTTCTCAGATTAAAAACACCTTTGACTATTTAAAAAAAAAATCGTGCACATATATACATTTGGAAAAGTATTCCTTTTCTCTTAAACATTCGTTCGATAAGTGTTTAGCTATTAATTCTCTTCACTCGTGCAAGGAGCAACTTCACCATTCTTCGCTCGGCAGCAAAAAAATTCCCTTGCAGCTGTATAATCTGCCTGAATCCTTTCGCTGCGTTGGCGGTCTGTTCTTTTAATACTGCTTAGATTTCATTCAAAAAATCTGCTTTGTCCTTCTGTTGTCTCTCATTCTTGACACATGGTGGTCGACCCAACTCTTTTTAATGGAGTACACTGATCAACAATAAAGCTCACGTAGAACGAAACTGTGTTCTTCACTGGAAATGTGCTGCAACTTGCTAGCATCTGCTGTGTCTTTAGTGGTCATTTATAACCGCAAAATTCGAATAGAAAAACATACCAGGAAATGACAACAATAAGTGCTGTTGGCAGGTATGTTTGCATCATGTGGTGCATCATTTCACGTTCAACAATAAATTCGGCTGTTATGCAGCTCCAGACGCCTTAAAAGAAAATTTTTGAATAATTTTGAAAGACAAAAGCTTTACCAATTCCCGGGGATATTCGTCGGGATGTGTCAAGTTTTGATATCGGAATCCAGGTTTTCCTACCCTTCTGAGGAAATTTGTATGCATCGGTGAATTCCCGTGCCAAAGTGCGCTATTACCTGTGGAATAAGTGCCATTGCAGTGGCCAGTCCTTATGTCAATAAGCTGCATATCGGGCATTCGAATTTCCATATTCCGATCAATCGGTTTTATTCGCTCGCTCCACTGCAGCCGTAGCTGTGATTCTGGATAGGCATCTGAATTTACGCAATCATATTTTTTCCGAAAAAACAAAATTTTCCAGCAAATTTGCCAAGACTGTTTGCTTGAACGACCTGTATGGAAGTCCGGTGATTGTGATGGTACCGAAACGCAGTTCAAGACATCGAGCTCTATTCTTTGCTAACGAAATCTCAAGAACACCAAGACTGTCTAGACAACTGATGTGGCTATCCCAGCGTTACTAGGATGCTCCCAAACACTGGGCGCAGCTCTGGTCCTTCAATTCAAGGAACACAACCTATTAGCAATTACCGTCCATTTCAATGTATATGCACCACCATTTGGGGGAAAGGGGGGCGTCTGAGTGATCGTTTACTTTCTCGCAGATACCACTGATTAATATATGGCATTCACAGACTACATGAAATAAATATGCAAAAATGACAAGGAAGATCCGGAAAGTGAATATGTAAAACAAACAGCTCAAAATCCTCAGTTCACACCGCTGCATATCAAGTGGATATTTCCACAAGTTCATCATACATATCACCACCATTGATATCCTGCAAAGAATCAGACGGTAACTATCGATTATGAGAATCTTAACTGATATCTGATATTAATCATAGTGTAAACAGGACCTGTTAGTTCCTAGATATTCGTCGAAATTATGATAATTGCATTATTAGTAATTTTTTAACGAGATGACTTCTGTCAATTTATGACTGAAACCGCAATCAGAATCTTCGCCCGATGAGATACCTACAGGATGTCAGTGCGACCACACGAGAAAGAAGAGTCTGATGGACAGAACATGAAGCTTGTCTTGCTAGCAACCGACGATTATCAGTGAGTGGTACCAACAAGAAAAAAAAAATGGTCACTTAAGCTGATTCCAAAGAGCTAGCTTACAAAACGTTTTTTATCGCTATTTATTCTCTTGTATAATTGCACTAGAATTACTTCTTCAGTCTTAAACTTTAAAAAAAAAAAACCGGATTTAAAAAAAAAACCTGCAGTCGTAGAACACTCTTCCAGTGGGATCAATCCAGACAAGAAAATTATCTTCGGTAATTTCCTGGAACGATGCTTGACGAGCATTTGCAAAGTACACATCTGGATGCCACATCAGTTCGAATATTGCTTTATCTTTCACTAGCAATTTGCCGCTATGGTTATGCGCTAATCGTGAGTCAATCCATTCCTGAATTTAATGAAATTATCAGTCCAGAACACATTTGTGTTTGAGTTATGAATTGCCAGTTAGCAAAAATTTCTGTCGATTGAAAATTGTTTTACTGTGAATGAACTGACCTGCTGAAAATACATATCCAAATGATAATCCTGCAAAATTGAGCCAATTTACTGCTTTGAAAAACCAAAATTCAGTTTGATTAAATTTTGCTGCTGCAGTCAAGGAAAGAGGCAGAGAAAAGAAAAAATCCCCCAAAAAACACCCGAACACCGAAACCACTCCGAACACTCAATGTAGCGACCTATATTAATTAATAATTTTGTTGGTATGCTTTCAGGTTGCAGGCGCGACTATTTTAAAGCCCCTCGATCCTGAGCAATCATACTGAAAGCTAAAGAATGGATTTTTAAAATTTTCTTGAAAGGCCATAACCGTAAATTTTCCAGGGGAAAAGACAATACATAAGAAAAAAACAATTTTGTGAAGGAAAAGGAGATTGAGAGAAAAAAAGGTTTTTTTAAAAGGCAGTTGAAAAATGACTTTCTCAATTTTTTCTGGGATGCGCTTTCATTTCTCCACTATCAAAAATGACTGCTTTGTTTTGAGCCGCTTGTTCCATTCGGCAACTTAGCGCCCAGCCTTAACTGGAATCCGGTTCGGGTTGAGCACTTGACCAAAAATTCAGTTCAAATCGTACAGAAAAAATGTTTAATCAATATGCAACAAAACGTAAGTTAAAAAATGCAGTGAACATTTGAATGACCGCAGGCAGACTGACCACCAGCGGATGCACAGTGGTCAAGGAAACTGAATAAGTTGTCAACTGCGTTGTCAGAGAATCACGCTGTGAACTGTGATTGAACGAAATAAACAACAGGTACCATAGTCTGAGCGCTGAACGATGACGTTCCCTCAATGTACATTGATAAAGATACATTTGTTGCCACTCCTAAAAGGAGCGAAATGAATTGGAAATAAACTTGATATATAATTTTTGCCATTAAAAATCTAATGGGGCAATGTTTTAAACGCAGCACAACCTGGAAGTACGAGCACATGCACAACTTCAAAAATTTCAGAGATTCAGAATTTTTTAAATATTGTTCATTTGTAAAACCTTTGAAAAAATTTAACACTAAGAAAAAATTAGAATTTTTCAATAATTATTTTCAAACTTTTTTTTAAAAAATTACCGAAAAGCACAATTGCACTTTTTTTATTATATTTGCATTTTTTATGGTTACGTAGTGGTTTTTTCTTTAAAGTGTCCACTTAATTACTGTTTTTCCTTTGCCACTTTCAAAATTTATGCCGTTTTATCTTTATTGTTCTTTTTCGCCATTATTGCTGTCATTATTATTATTGTTATTATTATTATTATTGTTGTTATTATTATTATTATTATTATTATTATTATTATTATTATTATTAT